GAAACATAGATTAGTATTCATTCAAGCAAAGTTGGGGTATGTTCTCAATAAATTCGAGGACATCATTATGTTTAGTTTTCTTTGTCAGAAGTATTGAATTAGACTTAGACATTTCTATATGTTGATGTATGGGCCGTGTCCCAATATATTCGTGTGTCTAAGATGACGACTTTGAGACTTAGCATTTCCTTATGATTTTTTATAAAGGGATATTTTGAAGTACTACTATTTCATGTGAAAATTATTAATTCTGCACTACTTTTCATAAATGTATGCAATAAATGATGTCAAAGGGCTTATACAAGACCTCCGAGAGGTCAAGTACACTGTGTTACGATACGAGGGAATGCCTTTTCTTCTAAGGTGTACTCTCGGGTTGTGACATTATAAGAATTGCATAATTTAAGTTATTGATTTGAGCTTGTATATTTCTCTTCAATTTTAGTGCAACTTATCACATACTTATTATAATATTTTCAATGTTCTTGTACTTAATTAGTATGACATACACGAGTAACATACATGTCGAGTATATAAATGTCGCTTCAACAACTCCACACAACTTAGCATTGGACACACGTGCAACGCATGTGCGGTAAGTAAAATATATTTTCGATATGTATATATCTAACACAGAATGAGAAAAAAATTGAAAGCGGAAGGCTAGGTGGACTGGGTAGAATTATATTTATATATATATATATATATAAATATCTAAATTAGTATTTTGTTTGGAGGGGGGGGGGGCTACGGTGAGAGGAAGTGACGGTAGGGTAAGAAAAATATTTTATATGTTTTATAATTTTTTTGGGATAATAATTTTGTATTCATTAATTTTAACTAATATCTATAATTTATTTAATTTTTGTTAAGATGATATTTTTTGTCCATGTAAAGTGATGTGATAATTTTTAAATAAAAGAGAGTGTATTATACACACAATTAGGGGTGCTCACGTTTTGGATAAAAATCGATCCAAATCGAAAAATCGAATCGAATCGATTAAATGTTCCAATTTTATTTAGGGTTTGGTTTGATTTTAGATTTTTGAAAAAACAATAGTATTCTGTTTGGTTTTGATTCTGACGAATAAGCGACCCAAACCAATTTGTGAACACTCCTACACACCATGATGAGTGTATTATAAAGAGAGAAGTGTGTTTCTCAAAGGTAATAAGTGAATGTTTAGACATGAAACTCTCACTTCTAAAATTTTATCTATGAAACTCAAGAAAAGGAAATAATTTAGGAATGTTTTTGACACTTAACTCTATTTTAAATTACTAACATTTATATATTTATTTAATGACGAACTAATATTAGAATACATAATAAATTTATTTTAATTTGTTAAAAAAAATAAGAAAAATGGAAGCAAGAAGTAAAAAAAAAATCACATTCTATTTTATATTGAAGACGAAATGACCAAGGAGACTCTTATATTTGGCTCAAATGTAAACTGGACCTTTCTACTCATGACTTTGCCAACTAAACACTTAGATTTGGTAAAACTCAACATTTTGAACCCTTTCAATTCATCTTGACACTCAATCGCTATGATGTCACACTTCATGTCAATAAAATTAGCCATGTCATTTTTATTTTTTACAAATAATTTCTTTTATGCCAGTAAGAATCTTCAAAATTTTCACCCTTCAACGCCACCACACCACCATAATACCTCAGTTATCTTTCCATGTACAGTACAAATCTTCCAATTAAAACTTAATTACAGTTGAATAACTTGTCAAAATATAATTTTTACTTTCTTTTACCTCTAGAAACAAAGATTTAAAAGAAGATTTATGAATTAATAATAAAATCACAATTTTTGGAGGAGTTGAAAATGGAAAATTAAGGAACTGAAATTGTAGTCACTTCAAAATTCAAAAAAATTCACCAATCAAACAATTGAATTTACACGAAAGAATACGTATCATTTATAAGTCAAATATATTTTGACAATAACCAAATTTAGAATTTTCCTTACCATAGATTTGAAATAGTGGTAAAAAGTGGAGAATTTTTCGTAGATTTAGAAAATTGAAGTGGGATAAAATAGAATCTAGTGTTAGTGACATGTTTCGTCCTCTTTAAGTTTTTCGATAGCAGTATGATTGTATACGCCCTTTTGCTTGGGAAAGGGTGAATAAGAGGAAATTTAAGGAGAACCTAAATAACGATTTCTTCAGATGATAATTTCAGAAGAAAAGATGGTGGTAACAACAAAGAAGAGGAGTTGCAGCAGCCATGGCTCGAATATAGGTGCGCTTGGAGATAAAGGACTTTTTCTTTCTTTTCTTTTTTTAATAAAAAAATCTACTTTTTAATTATATTTATTTTTTTCTGATTTTAGTCTTCATAAATCATAATTCACCTATTATATGAGTGAAACTCACACACTTTGTTCAACTTAGTATACAATTCGCATAAAGTATAAGAGTTTTCTAAATCATTTCTCGTAAATAGAATAGAAAAGCAATACACAAAAATTAAAAAGAGATTGTTGTATATATAGATAAATGATTTATTACCTAATTTTTTTTTATAATAGATTAATATAATAATAAGTAGAGATAAAGATGAAATGAAATTAAAACCTAATGTTGCAATCAAATAATCATGAATGAAATAATAGAAAGAGGGAGTGGATCTTAAGTTTTCATTCATGGTTTCACCTACCAGTTAACACTGTTACAAACTCTTATCGATGAAATGTGGTATAATAAGCAAATGAGGTTGTTCACCATTTTTTGTAGTAAGATGAAGAAGCTGAACCTGAAATACCCAGCAATAACTGAGCGTAAGTGGATATTTCCACTTGCTATTGCTTCTCCACTTTTCCTCTTCATCTTCTTCATCACTACCTTAATTTCACCAAATGCCACTACTCCTCCTTCCTCCGCCTCCATTTTCGTCGAATCAAAGCTTCAATTCTTACCCATTTCCAAACTGTCATCCCCTCCACGTTTTGCTTATCTCGTCTCCGGCTCCGCTGGTGACGGTGCCATGCTGAAGAGAACCCTTCAAGCTCTTTACCATCCAAATAACCAGTATGTAGTTCATCTTGATGCTGACTCATCGCCTCAAGAGAGGCTTCATTTGCATAAATTTGTTGTCAATAATCCAATTTTTAGGAAATTCAACAATGTGCGTATGATTACTAAAGCTAATCTTGTGACTTATCGTGGACCAACTATGGTAGCTAATACACTCCATGCTGCTGCTATATTGTTGAAACAAGGTGGGCAATGGGATTGGTTTATTAACCTCAGTGCTTCTGATTACCCACTTGTTACTCAAGATGGTAAGTCATTTTCCTTTTGTGAAAATAATTTTCTATTTTTTTTAAAAATAGGGTTTAATTTGAATATTGAATTCTCAGATCTTATTCATGCATTTTCGGATTTACCACGGGATCTTAACTTCATTGATCATACTAGTGATATTGGATGGAAAGAGTAAGTATATACATGTGTTTTCCTTATTTCATGATATTGGATGATGTTAACTTGTTTGGTTTCTATTTCTCAAGGTTTCAGAGGGCGAAGCCAATCATCATTGATCCGGGGTTGTACATGAACAAGAAATCTGATGTTTTCTGGATTACACAGAGAAGAAGTGTGCCAACAGCTTTCAAGCTTTTTACAGGCATCATTTCTTTCTTTGCACTTATTCTCTTCTCTTAATAGATGAGGTGTTTTAATACTGAAGTTTGAAAATCTACTGCAGTTTCTTTGTATCTTGTAGCTCCGTTTTCCTTTCTGTCTTATCCATGCTCTTACCCAAATTCTAACTTGTTGGTAGACATCTAACTTTTACCTTATAGGAAAATATCTGTTGGATAGGGAATCCTTTTTTCTTATGATTGGATGAAATGTTTGACAATTTTTCATTTTGTAAACAAGTTCAACAGTTGTGCCTAATGAAGTTAGAATTTCGTCTTTGACAAAATGCTGAACAAGCAAACTTTGTTAGTTATTCAACCACAACAACATATTCAGTGTAATCCCACAAGTGGAGTTTGGGGAGGGGAGGGTAGAATGTACTTACCCCTACCTTGCGAGGTAAAAAGGTTGTTTCGGATAGTCCCTCAGCTCAAGGAAAGGCATATCGAAAAAGAAATGACGGAAGTGAAGAAATCATGGAAAAATACTAAGAAAACATGATTAAACATTCTGAAAAAGGAAATGTGACTACAACAAAATTGTGCACTGATCAAAGTACAAGGGACAGTAGATGCTAATAGAAATTGAAGGACAAGAAACTACAAGAGAAATGCTATGAATACTAGTGTGGAAGGAGAAGCAACACAACTCTCTACTATCTTGTAATTAAAAAGAAAAGTGATGCTTTTCTTAGTCACAAACATACTCAGTTAAACATTCAGCGGGAGGTAAAAGAAGGGTCCAGAATGGATAGTCAGACGATGTCTCAACTATAACAAAGAAATCGTATGTATAGGGAAGATTGATGCAGGAAGGGAAATTGAAATTGGTATTTTTATTATAAAGAAGCATTGGTAGTCAACGTGATTCCACTTTTCTTGGAAATATTTTGAACTCCATGTGAGTTCAGAGGTTATGGTAGTTGCGATTGATAAAAAAGATCATGTCAGGCATGATGCTTTCTTTTTGTAATATCTATCTGTACAACCAAATTGAGGTGCTATTTTATTTTTGCAACATGCCAAGTTTTTTACTAATACTTTTTCCATTTTTATGTCTTCTTTATACTTTTCACATAATTCTGTAAACCATCTTTGTAAGAATTTCCTGTGAATGCAGGATTTGCAGACTGTATAAGAGAAGTATTTCTTACCTGAAGCTCTGGCAAAGATTAAATTCACACACATTAGTTTTATTCTGAAGCATTAGATCATGCCTCTTGTTACAGTTGTCACATTAGATGAAGCAAGAGCTGGAAGAATTGAAATTCCCAGCATATATATAACATAGAAATGACAACGCCTTTATACATTTTTTTTGACTAGGTAATTAATTTAATTAATGTTGGGAACAACTTTCATATACAAGTAGTATACCAAAAAGTATAGAACCTACAAAAAGATATGATTCTCTACGAAAAAATAACTATTTTTTTTTAATACAAATCAGAACCTCAAAGATGCACCAACAGATAACTCAGGGTAAGAGGCTAGCGTCAAATGTACAAAATCATTCTTCATCCCATGTAATTTTTTCTGATTTCTCTCATTCCATTAATCCACTTGAGTGCTTCCCACGCTGCTTCTACTCTTCCACTTTTAATTACCCCTGCTTCGCAGTGCTTCCAACACGGTGCCTGGCAATTGGCATTGTCTATCTTGTCCCGAACCATCTCAAATCTCCCACCACAAGTGCATAGGTAGCTGGCGATGCAAAAGGAGGCTGTCCATGGCTTTGCCTGAGTACTTGCGTATAACACCAACTAGTATACGGGATCCTTCTCTTTCTCAAGTTTTTAGCTTTCAGTATTGGCCCCCTTGCTGCCGATTGTGTGGAAAAACACACATTTCTTGTCACCCTGGTTTGTTATACCCCGTTCGTGTTTTGCATATGTCATTGGTATCAAGTTGGATTTTTCTTGTGCTATTCCTTCAGATTGATGGACAATTTCAACCAAGAAAAAGTATGTGTGGAAGTAAATGTCTGTACTCACACATTTTATTAAGGAGCATATTTACATTGTTTGTTCAAGTAGTACTGACTTAGACAACATGATAAAAAATTATGGTCATATAATTCTTTTCTTGGTGAATATACTCATTGGCTAAAGATTTATTTATTTGATCAAGCATTGTTTAAAAATTATTAGGTTTTCTAAAAGTAAAATCGTTAAAGCTTTGTTACCTTCTCAAAAAAAAAAAAACAAGATCTTTGAATGTTCATCTTTTTTGGTTTAACATAAATTTAAAGCAGCTCTGTATTTCTATTTGACATGGAGATTGCACTTTGAAGGTGCGTTCTTTTTTAAGGGAGTTTCATTTATTGCTTTACTTTTGCTTATCACTATTTTGAGGGGGCTGGAAAGGTTAAGATGATGAGCAAGAGTTGACATGTGGAGCAATAGCTTTATTTATTCCTCATCTAGACTGTTTTGCTGTCAGGACTCTACAAAATTGCTAGAACATTGCTCTTGCCTCTTTGCAGGGTCTGCTTGGATGGCCCTTTCTCGACCCTTTATTGACTTCTGCATATGGGGATGGGACAACTTGCCTCGAACTGTACTTATGTACTATGCAAATTTCATCTCAACTCCAGAAGGTTATTTCCACACTGTTGTTTGTAATGCTCAGGAGTTCCGCAATACCACAGTAAACAGTGATCTACACTTTATATCGTGGGATAACCCTCCAAAGCAGCATCCTCATTACCTTACTCTTGGTGACATGCAAAAGATGGTTGACAGCAATGCCCCATTTGCGAGAAAGTTTCATCAAGATGATCCAGTGCTTGACAAGATTGACAATGAACTACTGTTTCGAGGTCAAGGCATGTTTGTCCCCGGTGGTTGGTGTACAGGGAGTCTAGAGAATGGGACAGATCCATGCTCCGTAGTGGGTAATGCCACAGTCCTTAGACCTACTGCTGGGGCAAAGAGAGTGAAAACTTTGACAGGCTCTCTCTTATCAAATGACAGTTTTCGACCCAGGCAGTGCATATAATGAAAACAATTTTGAAAGTAGACTTCTTTCTGATAGTCTTCATATAGGGAAAGCAGTTGATGTTATGAGTTGATGGTTTTATTTCTTGAGAGTGAAGACTTTTTGGAGTATACACTATCATTTGCTTCGATATTCACAGAACGAGTTAATACTGCAGGAAAAAGTGCAAATGTAGAGTATTGCTCCAGAAAAGTGATGGATCTACCAACATTCACTTATTTCAACTAAATTGCATGGGATTTGTGATTCCTATATGGCGAAGTTTTTACATACTAGAATGGAGAATTTTTGGAGTGAGTCCTCGCGGAAGGAAGTATCTCAGGTTTGTTACCCCTTTAATGTGTAACATATCTGGTGAGAGTTTCTTTTTCTTGTAAACAATGCTAAACAGGATCTAGTCTACGCAAATAATTTGATCGTGGAATTCTTTCTGTGTCTTTTTCCTCTTGTTTTGGAGGTTGAGGGGGAAGGAAGTTTGTTGGTGGCGATTGAATGTATCATAATCTGCACCTGCTATTGTTTGGTACTATCATTGAGAGATTTTCTTAGACCTTGTTACTGCCTGCCTGAATATTTAGCAGCTTACACAGCCTATGTATAATTGTTAGAACTCTTTGGACATATACAAATTAGAGTATTTTTGTGGTTGAATAATTGTGAAATTTTTCTATCAAAGGGAATCTATCAACACATTTTGTGATTGGATAGAATGATGACCTTAGCATTGTGTGATTAGCGTTTATCCAATCGCTGGTGCGGACAGAATATTTAGCCTCGGGATTGTTTGGTACATAGATTAATAATGTAGGGATTAAGGATGGCAATAGGACGGTGTGGCACGGGGGCGGGGTGGATTTTAAGGCTATGTGGGGCGGGGCGGGGCGACGTAAGGTTGTCCGGGGAGGGTGGGATGTGGGGCGGGTTGAAGTGGATTTTCTAAAAATTAATGTTGGGCGGGTTGCGGTATATGTGATTTTGTGTTGGTTTAAGCTTATTTTTAACTTTTTAAATGTTATAAGAAGGGAAAATTGTATATAATAGTAAACTAATAACCTAAAGTAAATAGAGTAGCTAGGTTTTGATTTAATTGTGCTCCATAGCAAACGTTAGCTAAAGTTTGCCAGACGTCTCTCTCCCAAAAATCTCTGTCGCCACTCTCCATTCTCGCTCGCCTCTCTCGCTTTATACACAGAAGTGTATAAATTCTGTTTTTGTTTTGTATAAAGAGAGAAAATTGTATATATACATGCAAAAATATATATCTTCGTGTTATACACTTAATTATACAATTTACAAACATTTTACTTCAAATATTGCAGAGAAAAAGGCCAACAAATTATACAATTGCGAATTATACAATTGCAGTGAAATACAATTTTCTCTAGCTTTATACAACAGAATTGTATATATTATGTTTCTGTTTTTGTATAAAGCGAGAGAAAAACATATATCTTCTTGCTATACACTTATAATTATGCAATATACATACATTTTAATTCGATTCAACTGTATCCAAAGCAAATTTTATAAAAATATTGCAGCGAAATAGGCAGCGAATTATACAATTGTGCATTATACAATCGCAGTGAATTATAGCGAATTATACAATTGCAGCGAAACAGGCCAGCGAATTATACAATTTAGGCCAGCGAATTATATAATTGTATATGTGTAGCGAATTATACAGTTTTATGTTTGCTATGGAGCGCAATTATGCAAACTTTGCTATAGCATACAAATATGAATTTTTTGTTTGCTATATGTGAAAGTTGCCCTTATAAGAATGATAGATCATTATTCATTAAAATAATTTTTTTAAAGTTATTAAAATATTGGAAAAACTACATCATTAGACATACTTAACTACCATCTATACATATATTATCTATAGTTAAAAATATTATTTATAATACCGCTTTTTAATAATTATAGCATATATTTTAAAAAATTAAATCAGATACACATTCCCTCAAATATGGTATAATAATTACCTTAAAATTTAAACTCCTTAATTAAAGGTACATACATTACCAATTCAACCTCCCCCACCCACCATTTTTTCTCTCTTCATTATCTCAACATATAAATTCTTCATAATATCTATCAAAAACTATTTTGGTTTTATTTTTAGTTTGTTTATTTTAAAAAAGTCTCCCTTCATTTTCGTTGCAAGATGTATGTACAACCACAACCAAGGTATTATGCCGATCGGAAAGCATGCACATGATACTGAATATTAAGAACAGAACTCATGCCTATTTTGGTTAGCATCGTAATCATGATGGATTCACTATTGAAGCAGACTCCTTGTGGCTTCTTAACAAATACTGAAAATTGGAGGAATCCTCTATAGCTTATTTCAAGTCCCTTTATTGCGTTACTGAAAATAGTCTTGTTAGTAGTGTAATAGTTTGAGAATGACCCTTTAAAATTGTTGAATACATGTATCTCATTTTTAATTCAAATTAATAACGCGTATCTCAATTTTTAAAACTGTTGGATACATATATCTCGCCTTTAATGATAAATGTATTTCACGATTGTGATTTGTTTCTAAAATTTGTGTTTCAGGTGCATTTTATAGTTAGATCCACATAATCATATGTATATACCTACTATGTATCTGAGATACATGTTTTTAAATATAATGTATGAAATTGATACTTGATACATCAAACTAATACTGGATATGTGAAATTAAAGCTCGATCATATAAATCGATACGTGAAATTAAAACTAGATCATATAAATAGATACATGAAACTAATACTTGACACATATAACAAATACACAAAGATAATACTAGATACTTCTATGATACATATGAACATACTTATATAATGCTCAGGTATAGTATTTAGTTTGTTTGATACATCATATATTGAAAATACGTACATCAAATTAATAAATTTATTGTCTTGAGAGTAATAAATGAAATTAATCAAATTACATGACCAAGATATACATCTTTTGTTTAAGACTAATAATGCAATGAATTTATTATTTCAAAGGATAATTTTGAAATAATAATTTGAAATTAATTAAATAGAGACACTCCTTGATTTTCATCTTATAATAAGGTATTTGATTATTTTAATTTTTCAGAATTAATTATTCATGTTACTCATCTAATTGAGAAAATCGGTTACAACTTATTGATTCAAACAAATAAAATATGTATCTCAGTTTAAAATTCGGTAGATACATGTATCTCCGGATCCAATCTCATGTATCCTAACTTCCTAAGTATGAAAATATGGTAGAGGGAGTAATATTTGAAACTATCGGGAATATTAGTAATTAGGATCTAAACTAGTGGGATTTATGTATTAAGATAGTAAATGAAAATGGTTCAATAAAAAAAATACGATTTCTTACATATTTTCCCATTGACCTCTAGCAAATAATTTATTAAGTCACTAACCTATTAAATTAATATAACTAAATGAAAAATGAATTTATTTGTATGAATTTTATTTTAAGTATCAAACTTAACTAGAGAAAGAAAATATCATAAAAATTATGCGGGGTGAGTTCATGTGGGATGGGTTGAAAAGGAAAAAATGTTGTTATGCGGGGCGGATTAAATAATTTATGGGTTAAGCTTAATCCGTCCACTCTTCCCCGCACCATTCCATTGTTATCCCTAGCAGGAATTAGTAATGTAGGGTTTATTTTTTATATCAAGTATTCGGTTCATTGCTTCCTACCTAATCTTGTGTTTCTGTTAAACCTCTAAAAAAATCTTTCCAATTATATACCATTGAATTATTATTTGACTTTCTATTTTATGTAATTGAATCAAGGTAGATAATTGTCGTACAATATATTTTTTGCGGCCTTCTAATTAGCTAAGAGAACAATTTTATGATAAGAGAATCTCTTGTTAGAAACCACTTATCTGTCAACAAATAATACATTCAATTAAGATAACAAACTACTTGTGGTAATATTTTTATCTTTCAATTACTAAAAGCTATGCATTCCATATTACAAATATTGTATTAATTTGTATTGAATTTTTTTAGCAACAAACAACTGTCTAAATAATAAAATTTGTAAGCTAATATATATATATATATATATATATATATATATATATATATATATATAA